CCTGATCCAATTGCTGTGCTAACAGAGATAACTACACTTTCAAAGATGTGAGGAATTGGAAATCTTGGTTCATGCCACTGTGAAAAAGTATTTTTTAGCTTATACTTTTAAAATGAATATTAGGTAACACTTTATACAGTCTCCTTGTTACATATGTTACATGTACTTACAATAAAAGTAAATTATGCACAATTACACGTAACTAACCCTCAAACAAATTCTAATCCTATCCTAACCCTATAGTAAATATGTTGTTAATTAAGATCACTCAGTACTTAAATACATAATTACACTGTACCAATGACACCTTTAAATAAAGTGTAACCGAGTAATATTACATAAATCATATATTTAAAAAAAATACTTAAGTGTGAACAGAATAATGTTTTCAGACTCTTAAATGCATGTTAATTGTGATTAAATGAAAATGTATTAGATTAAATTTATATTAAAAGCAATTAGCAGAACATTAGAGTGCATTTGACCCACTTAAGTAGGTAGTAAATCTGTATATTTAAATTCATAATTACTTTAAATGTTTTTGAAATGTGGTTAAAGTATACTGACATGTATTGACATGAATTTATGGTAAACTAAAATATACTTTAATGTAATTTCTATATATATATATATACACACGCATATATATGTAATTGCAAGTTTGTAATGATGGTTGCAATTTAGTACATTTAAAATATATTCACTTTAAATATAATATGGAATAATAAACTAGTTAAAATTATAATAAAGTGCTTTAGTGTGTGTCAACGCATCAAAATAAGTTTACTTTAAAGCACGACAAAAGATTATTAATACAATTATTTATTATGTACTTTAAAATAAAGCTTTTAAATTGACATTATTAAAAGTGTATTAAGGAACAGACATTAAAGTGTACTTAAGTGGCTTTTAATTTCATTAATATAAATTATCTGCAAGTAACATTTTTTTAAAAATATACTTTTAAGATTTGACATATACTACATTTGCACATTCAATACAATTAAGTGCACTTTTTTTTATCACAAGGGTAACCACATCTGCAGATCAGGACCCTGGCCTGTACTCGAGTGTAAATGAAAAAATTAAGCACTTACACAGTGGTACACATTTTTGTCTTCCGAGTCAATCACCCATTCGATTCTCCTTTATCACAAAATTTCTCCTTCGTCTACCTGAGCTTGTGAACTCACATTTATTGCATCACTGACTCAGCTGAATAAGACCTACACCACAGTATCACATTAAATTGCTTGGCTGGAATCTATGGTGGGTGGAAGTGGAAATGTGACAGTAAAGGTGCTATCAATGATAAGGGCAGACGGGTGCTGAGGTGCTGACCCTGATGCCCCAGATGAACCCTGGAGCCAAACTGCCCCCCCTCCACCCTCCAAACCTTCAACACTCCCAGCCCTTGAGACTCATCAGCCCTGCTGGGAGAAGACAGCACGCTGAAAAGGTCATCCTTTATAAACCACACCTTACCTACCAACATAAGCTACTGAGAGAATAGAATGAGAACTGACTCTTTGCTAAAGCCCCACCTTAAAAACTTTTCCGAACAACCCTATCTTAGCAACTGTCCAGTGACACAAAGTACTTAAAAGGACTCACCCTCATGTCATTACAAACATTCATGACTTTCTTTTCTTCTGCAGACCACAGAAGAAGATATTTTGAAGAATGTTGGTAATCTAACCGTTTCGGTGACCATTGACTCATGGGCAAAAAACCCTGAGACATATCTCATAATATTTTCTTTATGTTCCACGGTAGAAAGAAAGTCATTAGGGTTTGGAAAGACAAGAGATAAACGATGACAGAATTTTTTGGAGAACAGTTTTTCCTTTTCCAAACATTTAAATTAATCTTGCAAAATATAATTGGTTAAACAGTTTTTCTTTCCCAAATGACATTTCCCCTTGATTTCTAAAGGTCACTTAATTTGTGTGTTGATTCAGGTCATTGTAGTTTATGGTGTATGCGTTGTAGAAATGTTACTCTAATGTTATCATTTATACTTGCTTGTAAATTATGCTTTTCCCATTTCAGTGACTTTGAAGTGCCTTTTTTTTACTCGATTCTGATTCCTTACTGTGTAATTTAACAATTTCTTTAAAAGAAAAACAATAAATACTTTGCATAGTCTGAATTTGTTCCAGTTCCTGGAACAAATTCACAAATTCCTTTCACAAATCTTTGTTTGCCAAGACCTCTCACATGGCCACACTGCAGCTATCGCTTGTTGGACTGTGTTAACACTTGGGCTGCTGTTGACCCTTATAGAGAGAGAGAGAGTGTTACATGACAATTCCAGAGTCTGTAATTACCCCACAGGGGTACAATTACACCGGAGGAGAGGAAAAATAAGAGGGTATAAAAAGAAAGAAAGAGCAGTGGGCTGCGGACAACAGAAACAACCTCAGATTCTAATCTAGGTTGGTGAAATCCACAGCTTGACTCAATCTTTTTCTAAAAACAAAACAGAATTGAGATGCAGGTTTATTCCTGGGAGAAGCCAAAGTGTATGCTGTATTACTCAGCCACACATCCAGTCATCTGTGAGTCATACAGGGTGATGGGAAGGTTAGCCTGTTCAGTGCTTGACTAAGAGCAGGGTATGATCTTCACATGGTTTGCTAACCAACACGTAGCTTTAATATACAGCCACAAATAAACACACACAAAGACCAGATGAAGTGAAGCAAATGAAAGGGCTTCCCTGTATACCAGCACCTATTAAAACAAATTGATGACTAAATTCATTTACTACCTGAAGAAAATGTGAATGGTGCATCACTGTTCTGAGGAGCATATACTATGCACTTGCTAGTGTATTCTGGATGGTTACTAGTGTGTTTCTAGTAGGGTAGCACCATTAATTGAAATACAACCGAAACTGTGATATGGCTTGGTGCGAATGCAATTTAATTAATAAATAAATGAGAAAGAGAAGCTTTAAAGTCGGCATGAAATCAAAATGGACAAATCTTTGTCTCTGGACAAAAATATTTTCTTCATGACGCATGTCTCGCTGGGACTAAATATCCTCGAAAACTTACTTCAAACTGGCATTCAGATCTGCATCCATATATTTAGCAACACCCAACTTTCTGTTTATCCAGTCAATTCCGAAAGATGAAATCAAATCCCACCCCTACATTTTTCTAATTACAGAAGCCATTTCACTCGGATATACATCACAATAGAGAAGAAAAGACTATCACAACTTCCGTTTAATGCCGACTTTTACTCTGTCCTCGCCATTGCCGGAATTTTCCCGCCTTAATGACTCAACTCTTCCTTTCCATTGACAGAATATTTTGGCAATCCAGGTTTTCACTGTTATACTGTATGATAACACTGCTATTATGCATCTTCTGAAAGAGTACAGAATCTCTGGATCCAAAAACTATAGCGAAGAAAAAGAAAAAACAAGAGATAGAAGCATTGCTTATGCCCATGTAAGGTTTCAACAGCACATAAATCAAAACTGCCAAATGTTACTGAATGAAATGTAAACTCAGGAAGAGATATATGACTGGCAAGCTTTGGGGTGTTGATGGACTCGATCTACTCTGTCTATGTTTTGATTATTATATTACATAGCCATGTTGATATATATTACCGGTATGTGTAGCCCTACAAACAAGCACAGGAAACATGATTTTTTTTCAAAAATCGTACAAACCGTACAGCTCTAGTTTTTAGTTGATTGCTTAAGTCCAACCCCAAGTCTCTATATTCAATTACTTGTCTAAATATATTGATCTGGAAACTATTTTTTTTCAAGTATCATATTAAAATAAAATCACTGTGGAACACAACGAAGCTCCACTATACTAATGTTGTTAATGAAAATGGGCATAAGTAACACTGTGTATTAACAAGTCAGTTGAAACACACAATGTGGCAGAAAGCAAAACCTGGTGACCAACATAACATCTTGCACCATTCATAAAATGAGTAACATACAACAGAAAGAAGAATCCCACAGAGAAACAAAAAGAGATGTGCAAGAACAGTTTGATCCAGCACATATGAAGTCATGGTGACCAGAACATGAGAAAAGACCTGAGAAGAAAAAAATAGGAAGAGATGTGCACAAAGATATATTGAGGACCGCAGGCGCTGTTATGAAGGGTGCAGAGTATGAAAGGCATATGGGCCCTTCAGGATGCTAGAGTGACCCAAATTTAAAACAACTATTGAAAATAAATTGAAATTGATTTTTTTTCTTACTTTTTAAAAATACACAAACACACTATACACACTGCCTATAAGTGTATGTGAAAAACATAAAAAGTAGGAATGAAGACCAAGTTCTTTTTTTGTTTTCTAGCATAACACTGGTAAAAATAGCAGTTCTCCATCAATAAGGTTTCCATTTGTGCGTTTAGAAGCTTGTTGTGGTGTTCAGTCGCTTTGATATTTTTAATATTTATTTATTTATACTTTATTCCTGAATGTAATTTCTTCCTGAAAATAGGAAGGAAATTTGTTAAGTATAATTTTTTTGTAATGGTTGAAACATTTACTCTTAAATAAAAAGACAACGAATGATACTGTTGTGTGCGACTATTTGCATCAATGCAATATCAAGTAGCCTATTGTTGTATAAGAGCAATGAATCTAATTTCTCTAAATATATGATTTATTTTATTTTATTATAAAAATCCTCAAGTCAGAAAATCTGAAAGTTTAGGGCCAGTAATTCCGCTTTGCATACCCTTAAAACTGTCGAGGCCTGTGAGACTGACAGGACTTGGTAACCTTGTGAAACTTGGTACATGTGAAACTGGAAAGTCAACTAAGATAAGAAAGTTGAGCGGAGGTGAATATAAAAAGGTGAAGGAGGTGAGAAACAAAACTACACTCCATGCAGGAATGACAAATAATATCATGACATTGCTCAGGCTGTGACATGAGAGCAAACATAGTCAAAGGAAACAACAAGCATACCATCTGACAGAGAAGTTGGAGTATTCAAAGCTGCCCACCTTGCTGGTTAAGCTGCAGTGTGCTCTTGCTCCACTGAGACAGACCCACGATAGCCACCATCTTGGCTCCCAGGCTGGAGCGACGCTTCTTGTTTCCGACCAGGCCTGTGGCATCGGGCCCCGTGCTGCTGGGGCTTTTCTCCAAGCTGTACATTGCCCCACTGATGCTGGAACTGCGGATCACGTTCCGGGCCGCCACCGCGCTCATCCCTCCTGGACTGGGTACATCCACTGAGCTGCTGAGCATCATGATCCCACACAAGCCTCTGGGCACAGGGCTGGACTGAGATCTGGGAGGAAGACAGAGGGAGAAAAGTTATCAGAACATTCAATTAATAAACATTGTGTTTAAAAAAAAAAGATATATATATATATATATCTGGTTTGACATCAGTGACATAAAACATCAAATCATAATATCAAACTCTGCCTATTTTCAGTGGCTGTGTACCGTTCAAAAGTTCAAGATCGTTAAGACTTATGCTCACCAAGGCTGCTTTATTTGATATAAAAATATAGTAAAAACAGTAATGTTGTGAAATATTATTACAATTTGATATTATTTTAAAATTTAATTTGTTCTTGTGATGGCAAAGCTGAATTTTATTTTCAGCAGTCATTACTCCAGTCGTCAGTGTCACATGATCCTTCAGAAATTATTATAATATGCTGATTTGCTACTCAAAAAACAATTATTATTATTATCAATGATGAAAACAGTGGAAACCATGATGCAATTTTTTTTTACAGGCTTCTTTGATGAATCAAAAGATTGTATCTTTACTGTTGGTTACTTTAATGCATCCTTGCCTAATTATTTTTCAGTAGAATCTCCAGTGCCACTACAACAGAAATCATATTTTACCCGAGTTGTGAATATAAGTTTGCTGTCTGTATTGAAAGTAATGAAATAAAAAAAGGCAATGTGTCGTGAAATAATAGCAAGAAACGTCTTTCTGTGGAGTTCACCTCATGAGCTGCACGCAAAAACAAACCATGCAGTGTGGTCCAATTCATGCGTAAATGACTATGAGTCAGTGAATCAAAAACATAGAGTGGCTAGTGTAGCCCGATTCTTATGAATCACTTCTTTTCAATGAATCAAAAACAGAATACATTTGTTCCCTATTTCCCCAATAGTTATTGTTTTGCTAAGTGCCCCAAAATGTAATTAAAATAAAAAATACTGGTAAAACTTCACAATAAAGTCTCATTTATTACCATTAATTAATGTACTAATTAACATGAACTAACAATAAGCAATATCCTACATTTGCTACAGTATTTATTAATCTTTGATAACATTAGTTAATAAAAATCCAGCAGTTCATTGTTTGTTCATGTTAGTTCACAGTGTATTAACTAATGTTAACATATCCAATTTCTGTTTTTAAATATGTACTAGTAAATGTTGAAAATTAATATTAAAATGCAGTAGACATATTGTTCATTTTTAGATCATGTTAACTAATGTACTTTACCAATGTTAACTAATGAAAACATATTGTAAAGTGTTACCAAAATATACAGTGTGTTCGTAACTACATCATTTTAAAGTGAGTAACTTGAAATATTATAAATGTGTTTAAATCAACACTAAGATTAGCATTTTAAACAACAGAAATTATTAAAATTGGCACACATATTTTTCTCATTTGGCTTGGCTCTGTATATAAGGGCATGGAATGCTCTGACGCACGTGTGCAGAATGATGCTGGCCTGATAAATGATTTAGAACACGGTCTGGGATGACATCTAAAAGAGTGAGTGAGCTGACAAATAAAATCAGTCTACTCCAGGAGAAAAGGCCATTCCCACAATGCAGTGTGACACATGTTTCGGCCTTAAGTTGGCGAATTAGAGCTGTGAATGAAAAAAAAAGTGCAGGCTAATTTATGTGCAATCTTCTCTGTGAACAGCCTGCATGTTTGTTTTTTGTGCTCCCATTCTCTTTCTCTCACTCCCCTTCCCCCTGTTCTCCACTCGTCGCTTTGATCTGTGCTTCCTCATATCAGCTGAAGTGTTTCTGGGTCTGTGGCAGTCGTCCCTCTTGGAAATGAATCAGCCTGCCTCCCTGAGTGATAATAATCATAATTTAGAGCTGGATCTGGACTAACACTCCTTTGAAATGAAAATGAAATGAAAAGAAAGCAGGGTAAGTCTTTATCATAGTAATCAGATTGATTTAGGTGTGTGTACATGGGGTCTGTTTGGCTATGGGAGAGATGAGCGAAGAACAATGGTCTGAAATGTGGCAGCACAGCCGATCAAAGAGACCCGTGGCCCTTTAGCTGCTTTGTCCGTCATCGTGACCTGAGCTCTAAATTGTGGGCGCTGATAAGTACAGACGGATTAAGAGGGCACCTTTTATCAAACGTCTTACAGCACAGACAGTAGCAAGACATCGCCCATGCCAACCTGCGCCTTTCAGACTATGTGTGACTCTTTTGGGGTCAACTAGAGGTGATTGAAGTTCCCGTTTATTTACAGTGTCCTGACAGGGCTTAATAGAGCAGGAACTTGTGGGTCACTGTACTCTCTCAATCAAATATTTTTTTCACAGACACACTGCCAATGCTGGTGCCAGACCCAATGGCTAATTTGGCCTAGTTCCATGTGTTGCCAACATAGAAAAGGCAGAAGATAGCCCTTAAACCCCTTAAACTTGCTGGTTTTCAAACAAGACCAAGACAAGGTCACAAAACAAAACTAGATCTCAAAAAGCTAGATTAATCCCATTAGAATCTACACTAGAAGTGCACAACAACCAGTTTAAATTTTTGTTGCGCTGCCAAGTTAGCTCTAAAGCTACCTTACAAATAATATACACTCACCTAAAGGATTATTAGGAACACCTGTTCAATTTCTCATTAATGCAATTATCTAATCAACCAATCACATGGCAATTGCTTCAATGCATTTAGGGGTGTGGTCCTGGTCAAGACAATCTCCTGAACTCCAAACTGAATGTCAGAATGGGAAAGAAAGGTGATTTAAGCATTTTTGAGCGTGGCATGGTTGTTGGTGCCAGACGGGCCGGTCTGAGTATTTCACAATCTGCTCAGTTACTGGGATTTTCACGCACAACCATTTCTAGGGTTTACAAAGAATGGTGTGAATAGGGAAAAATATCCAGTATGCGGCAGTCCTGTGGGCGAAAATGCCTTGTTGATGCTAGAGGTCAGAGGAGAATGGGCCGACTGATTCAAGCTGATAGAAGAGCAACTTTGACTGAAATAACCACTCGTTACAACCGAGGTATGCAGCAATGCATTTGTGAAGCCACAACACGCACAACCTTGAGGCGGATGGGCTACAACAGCAGAAGACCCCACCGGGTACCACTCATCTCCACTACAAATAGGAAAAAGAGGCTACAATTTGCAAGAGCTCACCAAAATTGGACAGTTGAAGAATGGAAAAATGTTGCCTGATCTGATGAGTCTCGATTTCTGTTGAGACATTCAGATGGTAGAGTCAGAATTTGGCGTAAACAGAATAAGAACATGGATCCATCATGCCTTGTTACCACTGTGCAGGCTGGTGGTGGTGGTGTAATGGTGTGGGGGATGTTTTCTTGGCACACTTTAGGCCCCTTAGTGCCAATTGGACATCGTTTAAATGCCACGGCCTACCTGAGCATTGTTTCTGACCATGTCCATCCCTTTATGGCCACCATGTACCCATCCTCTGATGGCTACTTCCAGCAGGATAATGCACCATGTCACAAAGCTCGAATCATTTCAAATTGATTTCTTGAACATGACAATGAGTTCACTGTAATAAAATGGTCACCAGATCTCAACCCAATAGAGCATCTTTGGGATGTGGTGGAACGGGAGCTTCGTGCCCTGGATGTGCATCCCACAAATCTCCATAAACTGCAAGATGCTATCCTATCAATATGGGCCAACATTTCTAAAGAATGCTTTCAGCATCTTGTTGAATCAATGCCACGTAGAATTAAGGCAGTTCTGAAGGCGAAAGGGGGTCAAACACAGTATTAGTATGGTGTTCCTAATAATCCTTTAGGTGAGTGTATGTATAACTAGCAATTAATGGTAAGGAATTTCAGTTGTTACATAGTTTATTTAACAGCCATAAAGTTGTTGAATTAAGACTTTAAAACAGGTTGTCAAAACTAGTAGTAAAACTTGTAAACGCAGACCATGATGCACCATGTGTGTATATGTTTGGTAGCAGCCTAATCAATCATGTCATTGTATATGGCTCTCAAACGTGCGTTTAAAAACCTGAATGTAAAAACTGGGGCATCACTCAACCCTTTTTTTACTGGGGCACAGGTAAAAGAACACAGGTCTCATGATGCACTTTTAAAAGTTTAACTTCTTTTAAAGGCACGATATGGAGGATTTTTGCATTAAAATATCCTACAACCACTGGCACAGTTTTATATATTTTGTTGAAGTCTGTACTTACATTATACCAAATGTTTCCAACAATGTTTAAATCCAGAGAAATCAGCTATTTTAACAAGGTGTAATCATGTTGCCTGTCAATTAAATAATATCCGCCAAATATATCATATTTGTCAAATAAAGAAACCCGTATGTGTCACAGTCTGTCTTGTCTCCGCCTCTTCACTACACTTCCCAGCATCCCTCTTGTCTACACACCTGCGTGTCGTCATCATCGTCACCTGTGTTTAGTCATTGTCATCATCTGTGCCACCTGTTTCTGTTAATTAGTATCTGTATTTAGTTTCCTTCTGTTCAGTTAGTCTTGGGCCCCGTTTACACGAGAACGATTCCGGGTGAAAACGTAAAAATATTTTATCGGATGTGCCTTTCGTTTACACGGCAACAGCGTTTTGGGGGCTTAAAAACGCAAAAAAGTGAAACCACCCTCCAGAGTGGAAATCTTAAAAACGCTCCACCGTCGCGTTCCCGTCTAAACAGTAAAAGGCAAATCTGCTCACGGTGGCTCTCGTCGTGTACGCGTTTACGTCACATGCATGCGCCAGTACAGGAAAATAACAACCAACATGTCAGATTATTTCCATACGTCGGACCTTCAAGTTGCCCTAGCAGCTCTGAAAAACATACAAGAGTCTTTTCAGCAGTTGTACAAAATATTCTAAGATATTGGTGTTGTTGTGTGGCAGTGCTTCACATTGCCACCTAGCTGCCTGGAGTGCATACTACATCGAATTTCACACACTTTTGCGTCACCATATGCACGCGGATTTCCCAACCATAACGCTCGTCTAACCGCAGAATAAAAAGTGATAACGCAACGCCACTATTGCGTTTTCTCTTCAGATCGTTTC